TCTAAGAACAGTCCCAGGTCAGTGGACAGCATGAAAATGTTTCTACTTGCTGGTATGGGGCGGGGAGGGGTGGGTGCATCTTTAGGAAGAATCCTTCGATTTCACAGCCTTCCATCTTCTCAGTGACTGAACCTATAGCATCTTTGCTTAATGTAGCTCCACTTAAGCATAATAACATTAGGAAAGTGTCATTAGGATAGACCACCTATCCTCCTGTCAGTTCCAAGGTTTCTGTTCATTGCTCCTACCCCTCTGGGTTTCAGGTGATTAAGAAGAACAAGCGGGAGCGGGATGAAGATAGCTTGCACCACACTGACCTGTTCGACAGCCACATGCTATGGTTCCTCATGCATCACCTGAGACAGAGGCGCCATCACCGGGTAAGCTGGGGTGGGAAGGGAGCTCCCAAGGGCAGTGACACCCCCACCCCTAAAGGATTAAAAAAAACCACACCTGTTCCTGTGCACACCTCCCTCTTTTGGAGGAACAGTTGCATGGTGGATTGTGTGTCTACCATTGTGTCTCCCCCATCCCATGAGAGCCCCGATGGAGCCTGGGCAGAGCTACCAGCAGAAAGGGGCGGCGGTGCCTGCCTTTGTTCTTCAGGGCCATGCCCAGGTGCTCTCTTCATAAAAGCAAAGGCACGAGGGTGGGGAAGAGCTGGAGAGCCAGGATCAGCAAGTGGGCCTGCAATTTGTAAATAAAGTTTTATTGGGACACAGCCACGCTCATTTGTGGATTGTCTGTGGTTGCTTTCATGTCAGCAAAGACAGTTGGTGGAGTTTTTAAAAAAATAGTTACTGCAGAGATTTAAATGGCCCATGGGTGTGAAATAATTACCATCCGAACCTTTGAGGAAAACATTGGCTGACACTGGAATTCTAGATGAGACCTCACGTACATGTCCCTGTCCCAGAGAAGTTTCTAACAAGCCTTTGCCATTCCACAGCGCTGGCGAGAGCCTGGGCTTGAGGCCACAGATGCGAACTCGGATGAATCGCCTAGCTCTTCAGACACATCGGACGGAGAGGAGGGCCCTGATCGGGTGCAGTGCATGCCGTCCTGAGGCCTTACACGGGGAGGGGCCGGCTGGAGTGACCAAGCTGGTCCTGCCTGAGGCAGCTCTTTTTTGTCCCAGGCCATAACATTCAGCAGAAATGCACTTTGGACCTTTTGCTTTAGAGGACGGACAGACATCCCAGGAGGCGAGTGAACCCGAGGGGGCTGCGCTGTTGTTCACAGAGCGTGCCCAGGAGTGCAGGCTGACTCCTGGGTTGGGTTTTCTGGGAAGGAGCACAGCGCTCAGCAAAGAATGAGGAAGTCCTTCCTGATGCCTTTTTTTTGGGGGGGGTGGCGGGGGGGTGGCTATTTTGTTAACTGGTTTGGGGTGGGGAGTGGGGTTTCTTTAATCTCCCTTGTTTCTTGGGCTGTGGGGAAGGCAGAGGAGAGGGCCAAATGGCTATTAGCTACCAAGGCAGAGTTGGGTTTAGGTGTTTGACCCCATTTTCCTTTATTTTTTAAAGTCTATGACAGTGTCTCCCCCCGTGCAGGATCCCATCCTAGGATCCCGTTTTTCTGGGAAGTTCTTAGAGCCCCTACCACCCCACACTCTTCACTTTCCTTTCCACCTCATTCATTCTATGACTTAGCACAGTGTTTTGCACTTGAATACGTATCTTTCACTCTCATTTCTTCAGCCTCGCACCCCAAAATAGAGCTGGTGAGGAAGGTTGGGGGAAGGCAGGAGGAGAAGGGGGTAGAGGTGGAGAAAGAATAGGAAAGAAGTTGCATCCTCTGTTAATTAAAAACAAGACTGTGCGGTGGCAGCAATCTCCCTGTCCCTGTCATGTTAGAGGCCTAATTTTTTATCTATAACTATATTAAAAACAAGTCAGACTTGGATATATCAAGTTAAAGTTATTGTCAAAGTTTAAAGACATATATTCTCTATGAATGCAATAAAGGGACTTAGAGAGTTGGACCAGAGTAATGATGTGGAGGTGACATCTTGGGACAGCCCTACCCTCTACGGGATGGCCATTGGAGAAGGGGATCCATCGCTTTAGTTTTCAGAGGCTGCTAAATGGAAGACTCCTCAGTTCTGCCCTGGTTTTAGGGAGTAGGGGAAGAAGGAGATTCCTTCCACCTCTGCATCAGATCTTCTACCTCCTAAAAGTCTTGGGTTCCCAGGAAGGCTTCTCTTCCCAGAGGGTGGCCCATCTGTGAAAGTTGACTGAACTATTTCAGGAAGGGTGCCCCCACTGCAGCATCCTCTGCTAGCGCGTGTGACGGGCGACACCCTGATTCTGCAAGCCACCCAGATCCCTTCCGATTGGAGGAGAGAGGAAAGCCTTCCCAGTTGGGCCTCACACCTTGTCCACCTCCTTATGGCCCGGACACTTATTTATCATTGGTCACGAAGTGTGAAAACCCAGTGGAATTTTTCCTCTTCAACGGTTCTCGCCTCTATTTCTTTGTGTCTTGGAGCAGTCTGATTCCATTTGACCAGGCTAGGGAAAAGAGGGAGAGAGGATTCCTGGACACTCCTTCTCCTAGGGGACCCAGTTTCTAGCAGCTCAGACCGGATGTTGGCCCCTGTGCCTCCTTCCTGAGGTAGGGGATGTGTGGCGACTGTGTGGGCTATTGCTAGTAGGGTGGGCTGAAAACCATGCCCTCTGGAGTTTGTTGCTTTTTTTTCTCAGTAAAGCTTTTTTCTTTCCCTTTGACCTAATGCTCTGTGTGTATGTGAGCCATTAATTTGTGGTGGGCTCCCCCCACCCCCACTCCCTTCAAATATGATCGTTAACCCTCGGGATCAGAGGCCTGATTCTGCCATCTTAGCCTATCCATGGCAGAACTTTCGCAAGACTAGTCTGAGACACCGCTGTTTACAGTGCTTGGGCTCTAATGGAAGAGTATTGTCAATGGGGTAGAGGTCCCACTTAGCTCAGGGGTACTTAGGGGAGAGCAATAGAATAGTTGGTGTGTTCCCCAGCCCCTGTCCCAGGCTGCAGTGAAAGACATGGAGATATATATTGCTCCCCTCCCTTCCCAGTCATCCAAGGGCTCCAGAATCCTGGCCCTTCACAGAAATTCCAGAATGGGGATACAGTACAATCAATCACTTTTATTCCAGGGTTAGAACACACTGCAGACAGGAGCAAAGGACAGGAGCAGTCTCAACAAGGGGCGGAAGGGAGGGTGAGGTTGGTTGGTTGGTTGGAGATTATTTTGCCTCACAGAGAAACTGCTAGACTCTGCTGAAAAGGACCCTGTCTCTCCTCCCATTTCATCCTCTGCTCTCCACACAAGAAGATGCTCTCGTCCTTTGGAGGCTCAGACTACTGGTTCACTCTTCTCTGTCACGGAGAAGCCAGACAGGCTGGGGAAACTTGGGAAGGTGTCCTTTAAGGCAAAACTGTGGAGTACTCGGTGTGTGTGTGTTAAGGCAGGTGTCCACAGCAGTGGCCAGAGGGGACAGGCAGGCTGGGCTGGGCTAGGAGTGGAGGGTGGTTTCCAACCAGTCTGGCTTCTCTCTTCTGACAGCTAGCCCTCCCCACCCACTGAACATTTTGCTGACCTATCCTAAAAACTTCTAACTTAAACCTTCTCTAAATACTCTTGAGATTGAATGTGAATTCAGTGTATTGGTTGGCTTCTGTTCTGTGAAAGCTCTCTGTGTGGACTGTGTAGCAGTTTGACTCTGCCACTCCCCTCACCGTGGCATTCTTCTCCCACCCCCCTCTGGCCTAGACAATAAGTTAATGCTAGACACCACAAAGAAGGGCAGACATGGCAGTGCAGGTTTAATATACATATATGTAGAATATATATGTATACACAGTTAGCACGGTCAGGGTGGGGAGGGGCATCTGGGGACCGGCAGGAGGCTGGGGTCACTCATGGTAGTGATTGGGTTAGGTGGCTTCCACAGCCCCAAGGGGCCAGGATAGTTAGTGGGGGAGAGGGGTTGCCACGCCCCCTCCTGGATTGAATGGGCTGGGGATCAGTGCAAAGGAAAACCAGGTAACTTCTTCCCTGTCTTCTGGCTTGAGTGTCCCAGACCAGGGGCCAGGGGAGGCTGTCACAATAACCACATTGGAGCCCTGGAGGGCAGGGTCGATTGCGGGCTACAACCTCAGGATCTCATTCCCCAGCCTCCCCGGGGTTCAGGGTCAGTCTGTGCAACAGTCTGAGTAGGAATAAAGGGGTGGAAAGGGGCCCCTTCTCTGCCCTCCCTGTCGCCGGCTCAGTGGTGCATACCCCCAGCAGAGTCTCTCCAGGGCAGAGGGTGCTGCGGGGGAGTGGGCAGATAATGCTGGGTGCACTGTGGGCTTTGGGGCCAGGAAAGAGCATAGTGGGCCTCTCACGAGACCCCTGTCTCGTGCTCATCCTCTGCACATGAGAGGGGAGCAAAAAGGGACATGCCGGTGCCCAGGCCCTCCCACCCGAGAAACATCTGGAAACTCAACTCTCCAGTCCTGTGTGGGGTACATACATTGGTCGCTGGCGTTCCCTTCACCCTTCTGGGTGTGTGTGTGGGGGTGGCCTCTCCACAACCTTCTCTCCACACTGCTTATATTCACCCACCTCTGCCAAGCCACACCCCGCCCCGCCCCCCCCTTCAGCTCTTTGCTGTACAAAAATGCAGGTCCTTGATGCTCCCACTTCAGAGGTGTGTGTGGTGGAGTGGAGCGAGGGAAGTAGGGGAATGTGCCAATTTCTATTTGCGTAGAAATAGTCCCTACCTCCTTTAGTGTAGGAAACTTAAGCCCTCCCTCAGCCCCTGACCACCCCCCAGCCCCTGACAGGGAGGAACTAGATGAGCTAGACACACAGACAGCCAGAGCGTGCGCACACGCACACAACGCGCACAGTAGGGGGGTTAGGACCAGGTTAGTAAGAGGGTAGGTCGGGGGAGGTGCCCTTGCTCCCTCCCTTGGAGAATGGGTAGGGGGTAGGGAGTGGTACGATGAAGGTCCAACCTTCCTCTTCTTCCCTTTGCTCAGGCCTTCTTCGGCGGAGGGGCCAATTTGATGATCTCTTCTTCAGAGGGCTGCCGAATAATGTCTGAGGGCAAAAAGGGGTGTGTCCAAGGAGGGAAGTAGTGGGAGATGCCGGGCAGGCCCCTTGAGCATCAGCCACTACTCTACAAACCCAAGTCTGCGAAGGACACTGAGATCCTGGTCTCTTACCTTTGTACTTCTTGGCACTGGGGATACGAGTTAGCTTGGTGTCCAGCTCATCCTCCTCGGAGATCTTCAGCACACGAGTCCTGTAGTCCACCACCATAGTGAGGAGGTCAGGGCGGCGGGAGATCTCAAAGATGTGCTCGATGTAGGAGAGGTTGTCTGGGGGAAGGCAGGGAGACCTAGGTTTCAGAGCTGAGCTGCCCGGGCCAGCTACCACTGTTCTCCCCGACCAGGGCTCCGGAGCCAGCGCCAAGTTGCTCAGAAAGTAGGCAACACTACCAGAGGACCTACTGAGCGAGCATCAGGAAGCGGAGGCACTCATCAGTAGAGGGCTGGTCTCCAGCAGGGGGTGGGCAGTGGATGAGCGAAGCTGCTAGAGAGTAGATTTAGGTCGAAATGGAGGGGAGATTTGTTTTCAGGTCCCATTGGAGGGTAGGGGGAGAGTTTCCACATTAGGGCTGTAGGGGTGGACCACCCAGAAGGCACGGTCCCTACCACAAGGGTGACCTCCATGGCCTGCCCATGATTCAGCAGCCCCTGGACAATTCTTTTCCCCACCCTTCCCCTCTGAATACAACACGCACTAGATGCACTAGTCCTCTGATTGTGCAGTGTCCTCCAGATGCCTGTCTTCTGGTGACCCAGATCACACCAAGCTCACTGGCACCCAGTCCATTCTGACCCCACAGCCCCAGAGGCTCCATTGCAATCCGCCCTTTGGGGTTTCTAAGACGGAGTTTGGAACTGCAGCACATCGCCCACTGTGCCACCAGGGTTCCCTGCTTTTCCAAGCACATGCTCACTCCTGTCGCATTAGTAAAGAGACCTGGCACAGGTCTCACTTCTCTGCAGACCCTCTGTACAGACCTGTGCCCAGCCAGGCCAAGCAGGGCCCCTCGCTTTCCCTCAGCCCAGGCACTCCCTTCCCCCGTGACATGTTCTCTGCCTAGCCCCTCGTGGATTCCGCCTTGTGAACTCCTTCCCTAAAGCCCCCAGCCGGCTGGGGCTGCATTAGCCACTGACCTGCCCGCCCATGGCAGTAGTCTACCTTCAAGCAGTTAAGAAAATGTCAGAAGGTGTGATCTTGCTGCTTTATATTTCAAATGTCATTACTTTTTGTATCTTTATGTTCTAGTATACAAGGGTGCCTGAAAGTGGGCAGATGGAATTGAGGGCAGAATTTCCCCAAGTCCCCTTGTATAAGCGACAGCCCTGGTGGTGCTGCCAGGTGAGCACTGGGCTGCCAGCTACAGGGTCGACACTCCTTCAGAGAAAGATCAGGCTGCTCTGCCCTGTCAAGATTTGCAGCGTGGCGCCCCTCTGGGACCTCTGAATTGGAATATCTACTTAGTGGCAGTGGGTTTGTATATGTGATGATGGCATGGTAGTATCTAAACCTTTTTTACTGTCCAGGGAGAGGCACCGGGAGGCCCCCTGGATTCTCAGTCCAACTGCTCAGGGGAGTGTGCTGTGTGTGTCTAGGACAGTAGTCAACCCTCCTGAAGCCTTGACCCTTTCAGACAGTTACTCATGTGGGTGGTGACCCCCAACCATAACATTTCCGTTACTACATAACTAATTTTGCTACTGTTATGAATCGGGGCGACCCTCCAAAGGTTGAGAACCACTGATACAGGAGCTTTGGCCCCACAGACTGCTGGCAGGCCCCCCGCTCCCCCACCTTTGTCCAGCTTGTTGTGGCTCTCCAGGAAGCTGAACCAGGCGCTGCCGGTCGTGATCGCCTCGCTCTTCTCACTGGGGATGTCCTCCTTGCAGGCAGACTTGAGCTGTTCCAGGTCTTCAAGGGTGATGTTGTTGGTCAGGTCCTGGAGGAGGCTCCCGTACTCAGTCATGACTGTGGCGGAAAGCAGCAAAGGGAGAGGGAAGGGAGCCTGGTTCAGTCCTGGCAGGTGTGTGTGTGGAAGGTGGGAAGTGGGGAGGACCCGGGCTGGAGGCAGAGAAGGCGGAGCTAGGGTTAGACCTGACGACACTCAAGCTAGGAGTTAGGCTGGAGCCTAGAGTGACAAGTCACACCTTCTCCCCCATCCCACCCCCCAGCAGTAACCCTGGCAACAATTCCCCTGACTGAGGAGGAGGTTACTATAGCAACCTACTCAGGCTTTCGCACCCACTGCCTTCAAGTCCCACCCCCTCAGTCGCCCCACCCACTTGCAGCCCCACCCTTGGTCAAAAAAAAAAAAAAGGCTTGCTATCCCTGTGAGAAGCTGAAAAGAAGGGCCTGATATTTGTCAGCCCTAGCTCGTATCCTTCCCCATACGCAGTGGGGTCCCTCAAGTCAGCTCCCCACCACTTCACTACTCATTTTGGATGGTTGCCTAGTTGCTTGTCTGACAGTCCCCCATCCTCTCTCTGGGCCCTGTGTGTAATCATTAGAGCCTGGGGGGCAGGGGAGGCAAGGGACCACCCCCACCTTTATACAACCCATTTTTCTCCTCCAGTAACTCCCAGGCCCCCACTCAGCCTTCTCTCCTAGCCTTTGTTGCTGTGCTGACAGCCCCTGCGCCCAAGAATACCAAGCGGCTGGCTCTGGCCCCCTGCCCGGTTCCCAGGCTGGCTGGGTGGCAAGGGGAGGGGGCTTGGATACAGCTTTGGGAGAGTCTGGCAGGAAGGGGGCTGTCACCCTTCTGCATCAACACCCTGACGGCACAACTGTCGGCATGGCCTCCCACAGAGGGCGGGGCAAGGCCAGCGCTCATCTAGGTCTTTCCACCCCTCTCCAGAGGGCTAGAAGAGAAGGCAGGGAACGTTCAAGGTCTGCATGCACTCACCGAGATGGGAACTGTGGCTAAGCCTGGAAGAAGGAAGGCCACACCTTAAGGACTTCCTGGATTGGATAACATGAGGTTCAAAAAATGGACTTATCTTCCCACGCTGAGAGCAGGCTCTTAATAGGGAGCAAAAGCTAACATGTATGTATGTACACGCACAGCATGTCGTAAATAACAGTCTGGCTCTGGACCAGTGGGTAGCAAGGAGCTCTGGGTGGCTCTGGCTCAGGCTGCCCACAGAGCAGCTTTGCAGCACTGGGTGTGGCAGGTGGGAGGGGTCTGATTAGCATCCCTTACTTTGGCCAGCATGTAGGGAAACTGAGGCAGAGAGGCATGTTGCTGTACAGAGGTTCAGACAAGTCCCCATTCCCAGCTCCCTAACGGCCCAGAACAAACAAGCCGCCTTTGGTGGCAGGCACCAGGACAAACAATGAGCCCGACAGCAGGGTCAGCACGACCCCACAGCAAGAAGCAGGCTTTCACAGGCCCTTGTACACCCAGGTGCAAGCAGACAGAAGGGCCCAGCGGTGGCCCTACCAGGCTGGGCCAGAAACAATGCCCTCTGACTGTCAGCACCAGGAACCATTTCTGCCTTGAAATCTAGGTCACAGCGCGGGCCCTGGAGCCCAGCCCCCGCCCCACCCCACCCTCTCTCCACTGATGGATAGTCAGAAAAGGAGTGCAGGTGAGGATACTGGGGAGAGGGTCTAGAAATGGGTAAGAATGAGGGCTGGGGGAGGTAGTGGTGAGAGCAGCATGGGAAAGAGACAAGACTCCCCAAGAAGCCTCAGCTCCAGTGCCAGAGACCTTGGGGCTCAGTCCTCAGCTGGAAAAGCGGGTGGAATTGAGGCTTATTCTGCCCTGCGTTCACATGGAAAAGCAGTGTTTGTAAATATGAGCGATCGTGTGTGTGTGTGTGTGTGTGTGTGTGTGTGTGTGTATTTTTCCTAAGGGGAGTTCAGATTTTAGGCTCTGAATCTAAAACAGATGCACAGGGAGCTGGGCGGGAAGGGATTAAAGTGTGAGACACCCACCCACAAAGGCTGGGAGGGAGGGGTAGGTAGGAGCATTCCGTGATAGCGGGAGGCCCCTAGGAGAAGTGGGGGTGCGAATGTGAAAGTGGCAGGTGAGAAATGTGAGTGCTGATCAGGGAGGGGTGCAGGTGTGTGGGGGAGCAGTGGGTGGGCATCTGTGGGCATGTTTGGATTTGCTGTTAGGGAGCAGATGTGCCCATGCCAGCGTTGGATGTGGCTAAAGGTATATGGTATGTCTGTGTCTGAGCCAGCAGGGGCTTGTGAAAGAAATATACATCCAGAGAAAAGGGGGCAGGTGTGTGTGCGTGCGCCGCGTGCTGAAACGAGGGAAGAGGCCAGCCAGTGAGCAGCACACAGTCCATGGTGAGAAGACTTCAGCAGCAGCAGCTCTGCCATTACCATGGCAACCTCTGTTCTGGGTGCCCCCGCCCAGTCTTCAGGACAATACCAACACTGGCTGGGAGGAGCCTAGGGAGTAAGAAGCCACAGAAAGGCCAGGAGGTAGCAGCCCTCTGAGGGAGCAAGGACAGGCCAGCCTGGTTGCTCCCCGTCTTGGAAAGACCCAATCGGTCCCCTAAGTGACTGTAGGGGTAAAGATTATTCCAAGGATGTGGTAGTTGGGAAATTTTATCTGGCCCTGAAATCTTACAGATCAACCAATGCCTTTGGAGTGGTTTGGCCTTGGTGTGGGACGTGTCAGAAGCTGGCTCTTCACCCTCAACAAGATTCACCGTCTTCAACAAGATTCAGAATTCCCAAGGGTCTGAGAAGAAGTCTCTTGCCCTCCTGGTTCTGGGATAAAAGCCCTGGTCTCTGGAGCAGTTAGAGAACTGCCCGGGAACACCAGGCAGCCTGGGCGGAGGCCATTCTTGGGACAGGATACCAGGGCAGGAACCGGAGCCTGGGCTGCCAGGAAGTCAGCCCCTTCCCTCCCAACTCATTCTCTGCTCCGCTCTGCGCTTCCTCACACCTTCCTTCCGCCCTCCCTCTCCTTCCTAGCTGGCCCCAGGCAGAGCCCCGACAAAGGGCAGACCAATCAGCCATGCTGGGGAAAGGGCCAAGAGTAAGGGTCACTGCAGACGGACCTTTCAGAGAGGAAGCTGGGAGGATGGTAGAGGGTGGGGGGCAGGTGCTCCCTGGGCACTCTGAGAAGCCTGGCAAAACGGAGCCACCTGTGGAGGGGATGGCTGCAGGACAAGTGCAGGCAGGCTGCTCATGAAGCGCTTCACAATATGGCCTCCACGGTGAGGGGGAGGGCACCCAGACAGTCCCTCATCCTCGGCTTAGTTCAGGGCTGTGGAGCCTGTCCGGAGGGCCCACTCACAAGGTGGGAAATGGGGGGAATTCCTGTGTCAGTCACCGTGATGCCTCTTTTTGTCAGGCGAACAAGCCCCAGAAATCTGTGGGGGTTGGGGAGGCAGGCCCCCATGAGAAGGAGCAGGGAGCCCTTTGTTAGGTGCCATTAGGCTGATGACGACTCATGTGACAGGGCCTCTGGTCATCTTCACAGAAGCAGAGAGCCAGGCCTTCTCTCGCAGTCACTGGATGGGCGCTCAGCAACTGACCCAGAGCCATGTGCACCACCCTGCCCTCTTAACCCTTCAAGGCCTGGGCCCAAAGAAGTGCCCCTAGTCCCCTGGATACTTCCTGAGAAGTCCTGGGTCCAAGTCCCTGGTGCATTTAAGAAGTGAGAAGGAAGCCTGTGGATTAGGAAATGCCACCCCTTCCTCCCTCCCTCACATCTGCTGCAGCTGTCCCAGGCCGGGAGAGGAGGGGCCAGCCGACACAGCTGCAAGGACCTGGCCATCTGCAGTGGGGACAAGCGGCTTACAGGCTTACGGCCTGGTTTACAGCCGCTTGTCTCCCACTGCTGATGGGGGCGGGGCAGGGGGTGTGTGCAGCCACGAGTGGTGATAGGGAAGGGGCAAGGGGCAGGAAGTTTGGGAGGAGGGGTCCATCCTATTTCAAATTATATCTGTCCCCCAAGTTCTGGCAGTCTTGTGTTATACTCAACAGCCTTCTTCGCTTAGCTTCTCGCCAGCGCGGGGGAGGCTTTACTCCTGTGACAGAAGGAAAAGTGGCCGCAGAGGCTCCAGATCAGCCTGGGAGTGAGGGTGGCAATATGCCCGAGGGCCAGAATATACCATCCAGTGTGCACAATGGGCCCCCCCTGGCTGTGCAGACAGGGGCCAGCCAGAGGGGAAGAAAGGCCAGAGGCAGCAGAATGGGGCACTAGAGGCCTGGCGCAGATGGAGCGGGGTAGGAGGGGGCTTTCTGCTGGTGTGCAGGCGGAGGGGGCTGTGATTCTCTCTAGCCCCTTTCTGGTTGGATTCACTGGTATTTTTTCGCTGCTCCTTTTTCTGTCCCTCCGGGCTCTCTACCTATCCATCCCTCTGCCTAGCCTCTAAGTCTGTTTTCCTCTTTCCCTTCTAGCTTTTCCTACCCAACCATCCCACCTCGGGGGGCCTTGGTTAGGGCTCTGTATCCCCAGTTGGCCATCCAGAGTTGTTGTTATGAGGGAGGAGCACCCTAGCTGCAGAGAGAAGTGGTGATTTGGGGTGGGGAGGGGCCGGGAAGTCCAGGGGCTGTCTGTATGCAGATTGGCTGCAGACATGCAGTGGGGCACTGACAGTTGTCACGAGTGTGGAAGCCAGCAGCCCGGGGCATCGCTGGCAACCTACCCACAGAGTAACCACAATGGGAAGAGCAATTAACACGATCAAGGTTCTGACAGCCTGGGGGCCAGACACGTGTAGAGAAATGAGATAAACTTACTAAGGTTGGGCAGATCCCCTAGGGACCCGCTGCTGCTGGCCTGCCTTCACCCTCCCTCCCTAATTTCTAAGCCCTCGAGTCCATTCCCCAGCATCTCCCCACTCGTCTGACCATCCATGTCCCCCCTTCCTCCCGCTCCCTGGCTCCAGTGTCTAGTCCCTCTGTGGACGGCTGTCTTCCTCTCACACACATTCCCCTCATTCTCACAGACTTGGGCTCCATCCCTGGCTGACTCATACTCATTCTTTCCTCTTCTCCCTCGCCCTGGCTTCCACCCCCTCCTCCTTCCTTTGGCCACTCCGATGGCCAGAAACTGGCCACTCCTGGCACCCTAAACTACAACTAGACCCAGCGGAAGATGCTGCCAGCAGCCCCGACTTGCCCTGCTCACCCACCTGGGAGCACCCGGTTCTCTCACACTCGGGATCCTGACTCCTTGACCTCCGGAAGAGAGGCCAGGACTTTCCCTCCTGGGTCCCTGCCCTTTTCAAGGGACCTCTGGAGCCCAGGGCCGGGGAAGGGAAGTCAGGGCAGACTTGGGGACAGTGGCCCTCTGTCCACCCAGCTGTGCTATCAGACTGGAGCCCTTGGAGCCCACAGGCTACGAGAGGCACACATGGGGGACAGGGGGTGTGGTGGGGGGTTGGGAGGGCTGTGATTTGCTGTGTGCCAAACACTCTGTAAGAGTCACATGGCTGTGTGTCACTGTGCTGGCGTGCTGCTTCTAGGTGTGTGTGTGTGTGTGTCAGTCTTGACATGGATTATATGACATTAATTAAGGGGTTTATGTTAGATACTTCCCTACTATACTCCCCCAGCTCCTACCTCCTGGGCTTGGACCAGCTTTGGCCTCTCTTGCCTCCTGCCTAGATGATGCAGATTTGGGGGGGGGGTGCAGGGGGCGGGGGGCTTAGGCGTCCTGAGAGCACGGGATTAGGGCCGAGGACCTGCGGCAGGGCTAGGTCCCGGGTCTGGGGAGAGCCCGCCGGCCTGCGAAGGTGAAGACCAGTCCAAAGCCAGAGCGGAGGAAGGAGGGGCGGGAGCTGGCCGGCAGAGCCGGCTGGGCGGGAAGCAGGCTCCATCCGAACCCCCAGGCCTGAGCCTAGCTCCCGAACTGCCGCCCCTCGTGGACTGTGCGGACCAAGCCATGCCGTCCTGGGCTCGCCCTCCGCGCGCGCGGAGCACCGGCTGAGAATCGGACCCCTGGGGTTGAGGGGGGGGGGCACGCTCCCAAGCTGGCCCTCGCGTCCCGGATCGTCACCCCTTCAAGATCGAGCCCAAACCTGCCCGGTCCCCGCGACCCCTCTCACCGTCTCCGGGGCTGAGCGCGCAGGGCGTGGGCACTGCAGGTTCCCCCGGTTCCTGACCAGCGTCCGGAGCCGCCTCTTTGGCTCCCGCCGCCGCCGCTGCTGCTGCTGCCGCCGCCTCTTCCGCCCGCGGAGCCCGAGCCGGAGCCCAGCGCCGCCTCGCCCCACCCGGCTGGGCGTGATGTCAGAGCCGGGGAGGGGCGGGGGGCGGAGTGCCGAGGGGCTGGGGTTCTGGAGGGTTCCTAAGATGGGGGGCGGAGGGGGGAGAGGATGGAGTAGAGTTGTCGCCTTCTCCTTCCCCCTCCACGGCGGAGACCCTCCCTCTCCTTCCCACCGGGGTGCCCCCCTCCCTGGTGACCTTTCCATGACCACGGTGGGTGGGTTGCTGGCTGGGACCTCGGGAAGAGCAGAGTCAGTTACAGGTTGAGAGACTTGGAAAGCCTCCGGCCTCCTGTTTCCCGGGGTCACTAGATTTGGGATTTGGAAGAACTCCTTTGCTCCTCACGGAGCCCCCTCCCTGGGGGTCGGGAGGGAGGGCGAGTGGGAATGAGACTTTTCTCAGTTGTGGGGTGGAGGTAGGTCCGGGCTGGGGCGAGAAGAACAGGGGGACCTCCTCCTTCCCTCACCCTGGGTCCATGGACCCACTCCTGGCGGGGGTGGGGTGGGTGGGGGGTGCCGCCAACTCCCTGGTCCCCTTTTCTCGCAAATATACCCTTCTCCCTCCTTCCCCTCATCATGATGCAATTTTATATTCTGGGGGAGAAAACGAGCAGCTATGAGCTCAGCATGCAAATATAGACAACGTGCCAAGCCGAGCCTGCTTACCAGGGCTGCCTGGCCGGCTCTGCCTCAGTGCTCTCTCTCACTTCCCCTCCGCCGGGGGACTTTCCTCCCCTAAGGTCTCAGCCACACTGAAAGAGGGAAGGGAGGATTGGGGAAGCGTCTGTTTTCACACACACCCCCGCCCCCCGGGAGGTCTCTCTGCCACTCAGATAGGGTCTGCGTCTGTTTTCACACACAACCCCCGCCCCCCGGGAGGTCTCTCTGCCACTCGGATAGGGTCTGGCACACACACACACACACACACACACACACACACACACACACACACACCCCGTCTGCGCCCCAGAAGGTCTCTCTGCCACTCGTATAGGGTCTGGCCCTGGGCAGAGGAAGCCACCCCTCCATGGAGGCATCCCAGGCCCCTCCCCTTCGAGAACACCTCCCACCCGTCGCCATGGAGTCGATGGGAACTCGCACACCCCGTGGTGTGGTCTTGCGTTGTCGTCATCATCATCGAACTGCCCGCTGGACGGTGGTGGTGCTGGGCTTTCACGCCCTGCTGCCAACGGACAGGTTTGCAGCGGGAACCCAGCTAATAGTGGTTCCCGTCAAGGTGACTGCCTGGAAAGCCCTGGGGCAGTTCCCACCCTGCCGCACGTGGGATCTGCAGACGCTGACGACAAGCTCTGACCAGACACGGGGTCGGTGGAGCTGCCCCCCTGGCAGTGAATAGAACCCAAGCCTTTCGCTTCACCCAGAATCCTTCCAGTGAGTCACCTGTCCCTGGATGAGGCCCGGGCCCCTGCTGCTTTGGGTTCCTGGCCCTCATCTGCCCTCCACCACCCTCACCCCCAGGGTGCCCTAGCACACCCGCATAACAACGTCGGTGCCCATGGCATTGGCTCCTCCCACAACCTGTAGGAGGCAGGGCCTACCCCTCTGAGACCCAGCGACTTATCTACAGTCTTGTCGTTTCTCAGTGCAAAGTCGGGTCTTCCGGAGGCAACAAGGTGCGGGCGTCGGGGACGCCATGCTGACTCGACTCCTTCCAGGGCAGCCCACTTTCTCGGCCTGTGTCCTCACCACCAAGGCGGGGTGGCAATGCCCATGTGATAGAATTCTTCTGCGGGTTGGGAGCCAAGGCTGGGGACTAGTACAGAGTTTTAAAAAACGATAATAACAGCTCCCCGCTGCCATCGAGTGGATTCCATTCTGACGCCTAGCGACTCAAGATAGAGACCAGCCTTATGGAAGCAAATAGTTTCCGATTTCTGCCACACCAAGGTGAGTTTGAACCTCCAACCTTGCGGTGAGCTGCCCAGAGACAGGTGGTTAAAAGTGGGAGCTGCTGTGTCATCCAGGTCTTTTCACTGACCTATGCTAGACAAACAGAAAACAAAATTCCTCACCACCAGGCCGAGGAGCAACATCGCAATCAACAAAGAAAAGATGGAAGCTGCCCAGGACTTAATTTTACTTGGATCCACAATGGACACCCTTGGAGGCGAGAGACAGAAAATTCAATGCCGCATTGTACTGGGCAGACCTGCTGCCAAAGAGCTGTCTGAGGTGCTAAAACGACCGAGGTGCACCGGAGCCAGGCCAGGGGGTCTTCCGTGGATGCACCTGCATGTGGACACTGGCTAGTGAATGAGGGAGACCAAAGAAAACTGAATGCCTTCGGATTACAATGCGGGCAGAGGATGTTAACGGTACCGTGGGCTGCTGGAAGAACAGACACATCTGGGTTGGAAGAAGTACAACCGAAGGCTCCTGAGAAGAAGGGAGCGTGGTGGGACTTCCTCGTGGGCCCTTCGGGCATGCTGTCAGGGAGACTGAGAAGGTGGAGAAGGACATCACGCTGGGTGAAGCCAAGAAGGGCTCTCACGGAGATGGAGCGACACCGCCGCTGCAACCGCGGCTCAAACATGGCCCGGGCCAGGAAGTGTTTGGTTCCCTTTACCATATAGTTGCGACGAGTCCATGCGATTGCATGGCACGCCACCATAATGTAGACTGCAAGTCCCACATTCTTATCAGCAGCAGCAGCACGTTAGTTCAGGGCCCATGCTGCTTATGAAGCATGTGATACCTGGACTGGGTGATAGATAGAAAGACTAGGCTTTCTCCCCCTGCTTCCTCCAGGAGTGCTTCCTGGATTTGTCTGGGGAGAGCGAAAACTTTCATCTCAGGTTTCATTCCTTCCTTAAGGAGACAGTCATCCTCTAAGACACCCAGTAACCCCTGTACCCAATCCAGGGAAAATGTAATGTGTGCTATTTATTTATGAGTTTGGTTAGTTGCTTGACTCCCCCAGCCTTACTTCTACTCCTTGACACTACTGCAGCAGGGCCCTGGCCACCGCACAAACCCCCAACCTCATCTCTCCATCCCCAGGGCCACGACTCTAGTCTGTGTTCTCCCCCCTTTGCCTTGAATGTTACAAGTCGTTGATGGTGTGAATTGGGCTTTCAGCCTGCACTATCTCTTGCTTTTCCTTCCCCATACCCATCCTGTTTCTCATTGCCAGATTACGTGCTGCCTCTCCCCTCCCACACCCGCCCCACCATTCAAATCAAGCCTCTGCACAAGCCAGCTCTGGAGGCCCACGCAACCTTGCTACCACTGCTTGAGCTTCTTGTCTCTTTGTGGTCATTTGTGTCCCCAATATGAGGGGCACAAACTGCTTGTGTCTCTGTTTCCAACAACTGAAACGTCCCTTCCCCAAAGCCTTTGTCCCCCCATCAAGTCCCGCTTTTTATGGAAGGCCTAGAAAAGGGTCACTTCCCTGCCCCCTGTCACCCCCCGCCCCCCGCAGCCACTCTCCTCTCTCTCTCAGGTGGGTCCATCCTGGATTAGGAACTTGGATTAGGAACTGTGTGAGGTCCACACCTCTGTGGACATACAAACAGCCTGGGACCCTGCCTTCGCCAGGCTCACAGGCTAGTGGTCAAGGCAGATGGGCAAATGAAAAACCACGGACGGGGAGTGTGCTGAGTGTGCATGTGAGGGATGGCAGCAGGCAGCCTGAGGGACGACTGCAGGGAGGAGCCTGCTCTGGGGAGGCCTCTGAGGAAGTGCTGCTTGGGCATAGACTTGAAGTTCAAGTCGGAGCTGCAGGGAGGGTGCTAGCCCACAGTGCATAATCCCATAATTACATGCTGCTTTGCCCTTGTCTTCAATTGTTTCTTGAGCTTCTCTTGACTTCCCAGTGAGGCGGAGCAGCTCCGAGAGCAGGGACAGGCCTGGCACTGTGCTCTCGGAGCCTAACGGCAGTGCTGGACAAACAACAGCATGTGTTCCGGATAGAGCTGTTGACTTGGAATGGATCAATAAGCCAGGTTTCTCTGGGCTGACTGCTGTTGCCGTCCCCCAACCCATCCTGACAAGGCCCTCTCACCCAAAGCCCCTCTCTGGGCCTCCTCCCTTTTAGACCGTGGTGAGACCTGTCAACACACATCCTTGCTCAGGCTGCCCCAGATCTCTTTATTGAGGCCTCTCATTTGACCCAAATACATGAACAAGAGATTGCTGTGATACAGCTCGCCTGGTGCCCTCCCTTCCTGCTGGCCAGGGATTAGACAGATGGAAGGGTTGAGAGAGTGGGGGAGGGAAGGGGACCTGGAGATAGGGCAAGAGAAGAGTCAGGAGAAGGAGGGGAGCGAGTGATGGAAGAAACAAGTCATAGATGCTGGTAAAGTCTGAGACACGGCAGATGAGAGGGCTTGGCTGGCGGCTAGGGAAAAGTAGCTCCTTTCCTCACCAGAAGGGGGGTGTCGGGGACCAGCGTCTTAGCACCAGCACGGAGACCCCAACGGGTCCTAGGACAGAGAATGGCCTAGCGTCCCCAGAGGACTCGGGAAAGGACAAGGGAGGCAAGAGGGAGAATGAGGAGAGCAAGTGGGACTGGAAGACGGTTGCTGCGGCAACTAGTCGTCGTCGTCGTCATCGTCGTCGTCATCGTCTTCCGTGTTGATCTCTCCCTCGAGCACGTCCTCCAGCCAGTCCTCCAGCTCCTCCGCCGAGGGCAGGTCCTCCTCGTCGTCCATCTCCATCCAGATGCTGTCAGCCTGGGAGAGGGCAGGAACCCCGTGTGTGCCAGGCCTGGGGACCTGTCCTCACTGGCCTGCCTCCCCTCCGCACGTAGCCTCTGTCACTCAAGTCCCTTAGTGGCCAAGGAAGCCGTCCAGGTAAGGATCTAAACCAGGGTGCTTCAAAATGCTCATGGAGGAAACACCCATGATCTTCCCATTCTGAGTGTCCACCCACTGTTTTCCAGTCCTCTCCGGAGAAGAGCGGCGGTGGGACCGAGCGGAAGGAAAAGTTGGATTGACCAAGGGACCTTCTCCCTTTAGCCTTTCATCCATGGTCTCGCCATGTGGCGTTTCCCAACACAGACCTCGCTTTCACACCCTTGCTGTACAACCGCTGGCCACCATTGGGTCCACGGAATAGTCCGTCACGCCTCAGCAGTCAAGGGTTTCCGCGGCCTGCTTTTTCAGCCCATCCTCAGTGACCCCTGCACGCTCCAGCCGCACGAACAGCTTGCCTTTTCCTGAACCTGCTGTGCGTTTTTCTACTTTTGGACCATTGCTCTGGCTTCGTTTTGGAGGCCTTCCCCTCTCTCTCTCTCACTGCCACTGAGTCAATGCTGACTCACAGCAACCCTACAGGGCAGGGTAGAACGGCCCCTGTGGGTTTCCGAGACTGTAACTCTTTATGGGAGTAGAAAGTCTCATCTTTCTCCCAAGGAGCGGCTGGTGGTTTTGAACTGCTGACCTTACGGGTAGCAGCCCAACTCGTAACTACTATGCCACCAGGAAGGAATTCTCCTTAATCTCTGCTTGTTGGAATTAATTTTATTTATTTCAAGGGAACACTTATTAAATCTTAGATGAGGCAAATCTTAGATGTGATAACTACAGAGACATATCATCTGAATGAGGAAGACCATTAGCTCGAGGTAATATTGGTGTCCAAGGATTTGCTGAGATACAGTGCTCTAGAAAGGACATGGGAGTCAAAGAAAACTATCACGAAAACACAGTTGGTGGCAGATCCATACATCCGAGCTACTGGTGGAGTGCCCAAAGTGGGCTCTCGGGCTGTGATGGGGACACAGCTATTCTGTTAGACAGAGGGCCTCACAGCATTGGTCCAGGGGCTTTCCTGAGGCAGCCGGGGCAGGACTTGGGGATATGTGACCCCAGGAAGGTGATCGTCATCCCAGACACACCCAGGTAACCCCCTGGAGGAGATTGCCGCTTCCTGGGCTGCTGCTGCTGCTGCTGCTGCTGCTGCTGCTGCTGCTGCTGCTGCTGGTCAAAGTAGCAGTGAGGGCAAGCCTGTTTACATTCCTGGTCGTGGTCCGAGGGAATTCAGGGGGGGCTCGAGCCACGTGGGCTTCTGCTTTCACTAACATCCCAAACCTGCAATCCGCATGCTCAGGAAATCCATTTTAAATACCGCTTCCTCTTAAACTTCCCTGTTTCTCTGAAGCAGACACCACTCCCCACCCCGTCCCCTGCCTCTCTGTTTCCCTAGCATTTTATTTGTGCTTTCATTACATAATGTTTCTCAGACCTGGCCTTGCATAGCAGTTGAAAGAATCCATCTCTGCCTCCCCAGTCGAGACTGAGAATTCTAGTAAAGCCCAAACTGGCTTATTCAACTCAACAAGTGTTTGGGAAGGCCCTTCCATGTGCTTAAGGAGACTGCTCAGAATCGACTGGGAGAAACAGACCCTCTACATTCCTAGCCATAGCCACGCCGTGTTCTAGACGCCCGTGGACGCCGAGAGGGCCGAGTTGGACATGATTCCAAATGAGACACCTGGAAATTGTTCACGGAGAGATCTGAACTAGGCCTTGAAGGATGAGCAACAGGTTTTAACAGGTGCAGGCAGGGAGCGTGCAGGCCATTAATCTTCTCCTCCATCCAGCCCTTAGGCTGGACTCAGGGCAGGACCCACCCCCTGTGGAGCAGAGCAGAGCAAATCTAGCCGGGAAGCAGAGTTGGGGTCCAGGAGGGGAGAAAACTCACGTCAGTAACATTGACGACTCCTATTTGTGGGGCTGACAAGTCGATGTCAAACGTCTTTTCCCAGTATGGAACCAGCTGTAGAAAAATCCCAAAGTAGCAACTTAATGGTGGCTAGGAACACATTAAGGCCAAAGTTGGGAGTGGGGGTGGGGGGTTGGGGGAGAGGGGATCAGTCCAAGGATAAAGAGAGGACATGATGAGTCTGCAGTGGATGGGAATGAATGCTGCTGTCGGCATCAGAGGGAATATGGGGAGTCAAACAGGAAAACATCAGAAATCCCTTTGGGAAAGTGTCCGAAGGGGACACTTGTTCTGCCGCCCCATGGCAAGCAAAAGAAGAAACCCTGTTTGTATCCTAGATGTACTACGGGCTCACCTGGGCAGCTGGGGCATGCTCATCCTCTGTGGCCCTCACGTCTACATCTTTGAAACCAGGTCCATACACCTGGGGAATGCCCATGTCCCTCACATTTCTGTTGATTTCTTCAGTTAGTTACTCGTTCAACAATGAGCGCTAAGTGTCGGGATTCAGCTGGGAACAGAACCATCCCCTGAGACCTGGGCTCTTCTGTGATCTACTGTGTTACTCATGTGCAGTTAACATTCCCACCTGCTCACCAGGACTCCGGTGTTCCCGAGGAGCCGGCGCTGGGCACAGGAGGTTCCTGCCCACCCCCTGCTCTGGGAACCATGTGTATTGTTCTCCCAAACTCTCTTTTCTTCCGGTTTCCCCCAGTGCCCACTGTGCCCACCATAGCTTCCCCAAATCCCCAAATAGGAGATGGTGTTAGGAGTTTTGAAACAGTCGCCTGAGCCCTCCCTACCCCCTGCCCCCACCAAGGACGACAGTAGCCGTAGCAGGTGGCTAGCCTCTCACCAAAGGGAAGTCGTCAGGGTCAATCCAGATGATGCTAAGATCCGGGTTTTCGGTGTTGTCTTGGGCCACAGCCTTGAGCGTCTCTAGGAACTCGTACCCATCTTGGAAGGAACATAAGTGAGAAGTAGGAGGCGTGGTGGGGAGTCAGGAGGCACAGAGGAAACGAGTCAAAATCTATTTCCCTCCCTCCCACGACTCCCCATCTTCAGCCCCAGGCTGCTTGCAAACAAACACTCTGCTCCAACAAGCACGCCCCTCTCTCCTGCAGCCACCACTGCCTTCCAGGATTCCTCCCTCACCGGGATCTGCTTCCTCTGCAAAGGCAACAATGTGGATTCCATCCAGATCG